CCTTGAGCAATTAGTATTGCTCCAGTTGTTTACATCTGTATTTATGTGAAAAGCATTTTATAATTTTGTTCATATAATCCCGGGGTTTGTCTTGGCAAGCAGACTCCTAAGCATTTTATATTGTCTACAACTAGTTTAAGTGGAATTTTCATCTCTTCCTGTTGGGTCTTGTTGTTAGTAAATAGAAATCTCAATGATTTCTGTGGGTTTATTTGATATCTTGCAACTTTGCTGAAGTTGTTGTTTCAACCAGCTTTTAGTTGATTCTCTGGAGTTCTATACATATACCACCATGTCATCTGCAAAAAGTGATAGTTTTGTTTCCTCATTGCATATGTTTACTCCTTCAATTCTTTTTTTTCTTGTCTTATTGCTATAGCTATTATTTTTAGTACAATTTTGAATAAAAGTGGTGATAATGAATACCCTTGCTTCACTCCTGATCTTATTGGGAAGGCTTTTAGTTTATCCCCACTACAAATAATGTTTACTCCTAGTTTTATATAGATTTTTTGTCATTATTCTTACTGTTGTTCAGTCATTTCAGTCATATGTAACTCATTGTGACCCCATTTTAGAGCTTTCTTGGCAAAGATACCAGAGTGGTTTTGGATAGATACTACTTATCATTTTTAAGAAAGGCTGTCCTCTCCAAAAACAAAACAAAGCATCTCATTTTATTTATCAATTTAAGGACGAGAAAGGACTACCTTTAATTTTATTAATTGCTTCTTTGAATTTCAGAATTTCTACTTTGTTGTTGAGGGTTTTTTATTTGTTGACATGTTTAATACATGTAAAATTCATTGGGTCTTTTTCTTTTTCCTTTCTTTAAACACTGAAAATATTTCAAGACATTTGTCTTCTTCTGAGAACTTCTTTATCTGCATCCAATAAATTTTGATGTGTTGTCTTATTATAATTTTCTTTGGTGAATTTTTTTACTGTTTGCATAATTGGTTCTTTGACTCACCAGTTCTTTGGAATTATTGTTAATTATTTCTTCAAAGGCCTTTTATTGAATACAACTTTTTTGCATTGTGATCAATATTTATGTTTAATATGTTTAATGTTTAATATTTCTGCTTTTCTATATTCTTGGTGAGGTCTTTATACCATATGACATAATAAATGTTTCTAAAGTTGCCACATGTCTGAAAAGAATATGTAAACTTTTCTGTATCATCACCAATTTTTCTAAAATTTGATTCATGCCCTTAATTTCTTTCTTGTTTATATTTTAGTTGATATATATAGGTTTGAAAGGGAGTATACTGAAGTCCCCTATTATTCTTGTTTTACCTTTTCTCTGCAATTTGATTAATTTCTCTAAATATTAGTTGCTATACTATTTGGTTCAAATATGTGAAGCATTAACATAGACAAATTATCTAATATTTTGCCTTTAAAATTAAATCCCTGCTTATCTATTTCTGTCATGGATTTATTTACTATAGCCTTACCTGAAATCATGATAGCTACTCATCCTTTGTTTTGTTTTGTTTAACTTCAGCTGACACATAATAGATTTTGTTCTAGCTCCTTATTTTGTATCTGTGTAAATCTTTGTTTCAAGTATCTTTCTTGTAAACAACATATGTTTGGGTTCTGCTTTCTAAACCGTTGCACTATTCTCTTCCACATGCTAAATGGATTCAACCAATTTACAATCATGACTATGAACATTAATTGTGTATTGCCCTCCACCCTATCCTCTTTTACTTTTTCTTGTCTTTGCTCCCATCCCCTCTTTAAAAATAAGACTGAGTTTTCCTAACATTTGTGATCTGTAAATGATATATTCTGTTTCCACTCTGTTCTTTCTCTTCTCTTTCACTTTCCCTGTCCCTGATCTTTAGTTTCTATTCTTCTTTCCTTTCCTTTTAACATCTACATCATCCTGTCACTTCAACATTGGAGTTTATTTTGGTTATCACTATTCTCTTACCTATCCTACTCTCCCTTTTAAACTTTTCTCTCCATTTCCATATTTCCTTCTGTTTCCTTTCTAAGTTTAATGTGTTTCTACACAAAAATCTTTATATGTATGTTGGTGGAGGGTAAGTGGGGGCAGGTGAAGAAGTGTAACTGTTTTCAACCCAGCTTTGTCTCGCACAGATGAAAGTGAGCTTCATGAGATGACCGTTCCCCCCATTTTTTTCTACGTTTGAATGTTCTCCATCTTCTTTACCACTATTTTATAAAAATGATTTCTTCCTTTTACTACTCCTTCCCACTGCATTATGGTTTCCTCTACCTTCAATTTCTGTTTTCTTCTTATACCACCAAAATGGAATAAACCACCCTGACCCTCTGCACTATTGGTCTTTATGGCCTGTGAAGGGAATTATGATTTTATATTAATTGATATGATATATGTAATGAATATACTTATAATTTAGATTTCTAAGAATTGCCTTTTCTGACTCGGGAGTCAGAAACTCACAGTGCAACTTGAAATAATTAATTAAACCCTTGACAACACTCACACAATCACTACATTCCTGTGCCTGTGCACCTTGAGTGAAGTGAATCAAAAATTGAGAATCTTTTTCCATCACAAAACTCTGGTCCTGTGACCTACCATGTAACAACCCCCAAGACTTGAAATGATCAACTTACAACTGTTCTACAGAACTCCAGAACACCTCTATTGTCCTGCACTCATGGGCTTGTCATGGGAAACCACTCAGGCACTGGAAATGATTGTTTTGTAATCCACCTTCTTCCTTCTTTTCCCACTTGTGATTTATGTATATAAACTGTGCCTTTACTCCAGCATGTGGAGCTTTCCTAAAGAGAACTTCAAAAGGTCTGTGGACTGATTCCCCACTCTGAAAGCAATTAATTAAACTGCTACTTGTTTCCTAGCACTCCTCCTCTGGCCTGCTTTGTGCAGCTCCAGCTATTCGCAGGTTAGACACTGGTCTTATCTAATCTAAATTTAAAAAGCTGTTAATAGGCCCTTGAATATATTAGAGTTCTGAGAAAACATTTATTTCTTATACCTCTATTAACAAGCAATTCATCTCCACATAGGCCCTTCTCATTAAGCAAGTTTGTATAGCTTTCTATTTCTTTTGATGCCTAGATTAAACTTAGTTTTGCCATATAGATTATTTTTAGTTTTAAATCTTTAACTTTTGCCTTCTGGAGTACCATATCCCAAGCTCTCTTCTTTGTAGTGGCAACTGCCAAGTTTTGTGTGAATCTGACTGTAGCTTCTCAGTATCTGAAATATTTCTTCTTGACTGTTTACAGAATTTTTTCCTTTGACCTGGAAGCTCTGGATTTTGACTACACTATTCCAGAGAGTTTTCATTTTAGGCTTCTGGGGTGGTGTCAGTTCTTTCTACTTTCACTTTGTCTTATGGTTCTAAGAAATTTGGGCAGTTTTTATTTAAGATTTATTGAAATGTGGCATCAAGCTTTCATTTTCTGTTTTGATTTTCAAATCATCCAGTAATTCTTACATTATCTCTCCTTACTTTCCACATCTGTTGTTTTTGAAGTTATATTCCTTGCTTTTTTTGGTTTTTAATTTTTAAAAAATATTTCTTCCTATTTTATTGAGTCTATAACTATTCCACAGACTTATTTCCTTGAGTCTAGAACTATTCCACTTTTGATGGGATATCTAGTTTCCTAAATCTTGATTCATTTTTTCTAAGTAATCTTGTAATTCAAGTCATTTTTTTCCTTCTGAGGATCTACCTGGATTTATTATAGAATATAGTGAGAATAAGTATGTTAATGTAGCACGAGCTGCTCCATTTTCTTTTAAGCCTCCATTTTATAATTAAGTAGTTGTTATGCAGGAGTAACTCTATTTTGTGACTAAGTGGTTGGAATTCAAGTTGTTTTACTATAATAAGGTAAGCACTTGTGTGTAATTTGGCAATGACATGTGTGTCTCCCAGTCTGGTAAACAACTGATAAGCATCTGCTAATGATATTAGAAAACTAAAACTTTGGTGGTTTCCTTTTATTGTAAAATTAAGCAATCAATCACCAATCAGAACTTAACTATAAAATATAAACACCCTTAACAAGAACAACAAAAACTCACTGGAAGCCCCAAACATTAGTCTGCTTCTTTGTTCCCAGAGGAACCAAAAAAATAATAATAATATTTGTTTTATTGAATAGATAATTGCATACTGTCAATAAATAAAGAGTAATTGCATGTATTAATGAGTGTAAGTCTGTTTCAATATTTCTATTGCACTAGTCAGCATCCGTAATGGTAACACACTTTGTTACATACGGTCACTCT